ATATTTGAAAACATGCTTTATGAAATTACAATGTTCTTGATTTTTATGGGATCTCAGGTGTATTTATTAAATAATTACACCTGAACCAGGTGTAATTAAATATATAAAAACAACTATACATTCAACAATGTATTATTAAAGAGCACATCCCTTGATCCAATTTAGTTAAAAACCTTAGCAATGTTCTTCCAATAGTTTGTACTTTTTGAAAGGAAAGATGTCCTCTAATTGAAATATATCAAAACAGTTACATATAAATTTACCCATATTATATGAATGTTTGAAAGGAATATTATATCAACTAAAGAGAAAATTGGGTCAATTCAAATTTTCCATACATATATAGTAAGAATGTGCTTAACCGATATTTTAAATGGCTTTGATGACTAAAATTGAAACAGTTTTGATTTTTCAGAAATTAACTGAACCAAATAATGCCCTTTGTGACCCTTGCTCTTAATTAATTCTGCCATTACTTGAATTTTAATTGTTTTCAATGTAGTAAAAAGGTACGTCATATATGAATATATTAATTATAGTAATCCCTTATAAAACTAAAACATATTTATCTTGTATACCTAATAGACTGTTTCACGATAACTGCGGTACTGCCCTTTTGCAGGGCAAAATGATTTATTTTGGTGAAATATGATGTAAAAGTAATTGTTAATTATACGACATTTAATTATCTGTCATCAAAAACTTTGCCAGATGTTGCTATTTTGCCCTGCAAAAGAGTAGTACCACAGTTATCGTGAAAGGGCTAATAGCAATGTAACCAGAAGTCTCTGATGAGACTGTAGCTCTACTGGTCTGTTTGTATAAAAAAAGAAAAGTAGCACTTGGATTTGAAACATTGCAACATGCAACAATAAATAGAATTATGTATCTTAATGTAGTCTACTTTTGTGACAAGTTATATTGAAATCAAATGAAAACTAGGAGTAGTAGCGTTTTGAAAGTATTTCACGGAAATTTCTATTTTTAGTAACCATGACAACACCATTCACCCAAATAAAAAAAAACAGAAATACATATTATGTATCGTAGTGTATTCTAACTGTGTGCCAAATTAGATTGAAATCAGACCAAAATTGTAGGAGGAGTAACGTTTTAAAGGAATTTCAAAGAAATTTCTATTTTTAGTAACCATGGCAACACCGTCCACGGAAATCAAAAACCGATGCACTAAATTATGTACCTTAGTGTAGTCTACTTGTGTGCCAAGTTATATTGAAATCGGACCAAAACTGTAGGAGGAGTAGCGTTTTAAAGGAATTTCACAGAAATTTCTATTTTTAGTAACCATGGCAACACCGTCCATCGAAATCAAAAACCGATGCACTAAATTATGTATCTTAGTGTAGTCTACTTGTGTGCCAAGTTATATTGAAATCGGACCAAAACTGTAGGAGGAGTAGCGTTTTAAAGGAATTTCACAGAAATTTCTATTTTTAGTAACCATGGCAACACCGTAAATCGAAATCAAAAACCGATGCACTAAATTATGTATCTTAGTGTAGTCTACTTGTGTGCCAAGTTATATTGAAATCGGACCAACCCTATAGGAGGAGTAGCGTTTTAAAGGAATTTCACAGAAATTTCTATTTTTAGTAACCATGGCAACACCGTCCATCGAAATCAAAAACCGATGCACTAAATTATGTATCTTAGTGTAGTCTACTTGTGTGCCAAGTTATATTGAAATCGGACCAACCCTATAGGAGGAGTAGCGTTTTAAAGGAATTTCACAGAAATTTCTATTTTTAGTAACCATGGCAACACCGTCCATCGAAATCAAAAACCGATGCACTAAATTATGTATCTTAGTGTAGTCTACTTGTGTGCCAAGTTATATTGAAATCGGACCAAAACTGTAGGAGGAGTAGCGTTTTAAAGGAATTTCACAGAAATTTCTATTTTTAGTAACCATGGCAACACCGTCCATCGAAATCAAAAACCGATGCACTAAATTATGTATCTTAGTGTAGTGTACTTGTGTGCCAAGTTATATTGAAATCGGACCAAAACTGTAGGAGGAGTAGCGTTTTAAAGGAATTTCACAGAAATTTCTATTTTTAGTAACCAAGGCAACACCGTCCATCGAAATCAAAAACCGATGCACTAAATTATGTATCTTAGTGTAGTCTACTTGTGTGCCAAGTTATATTGAAATCGGACCAAAACTGTAGGAGGAGTAGTGTTTTAAAGGAATTTCACAGAAATTTCTATTTTTAGTAACCATGGCAACACCGTCCATCGAAATCAAAAACCGATGCACTAAATTATGTATCTTAGTGTAGTCTACTTGTGTGCCAAGTTATATTGAAATCGGACCAACCCTATAGGAGGAGTAGCGTTTTAAAGGAATTTCACAGAAATTTCTATTTTTAGTAACCATGGCAACACCGTCCATCGAAATCAAAAACCGATGCACTAAATTATGTATCTTAGTGTAGTCTACTTGTGTGCCAAGTTATATTGAAATCGGACCAAAACTGTAGGAGGAGTAGCGTTTTGAAAAATTGTTTACAGAAAGACGGACAGACAGACAGACAGACAGACAGACAGACAGACGGACGGACGACGGACACCTTACTATCGCATAAGCTCTTCTGGTCTCTGACCAGTAGAGCTAAAAATGAAAAAGGACATGAAATTTTGTTAGCTCTCTATGTTTAATAGTGCTTTTACTAAAATACACAAGAAGTATAGATAAGTCAAGCATGTTAGTGTATTTAGTTACTATTGTTTTGTCAAGGGATGCAAAATATGAAACTATACATATAAATGAAATATGAAGATATAGGGAATTGCCTGTAGTGGCTTTATTTAGCTAGTTGATAGCAGCATAAACAAAAAATTTAAAAAAAAAAACACACAACAAAAAATTTACAGCTAGCCCCCAGCCATTTCAGGAGGCAACAAATGGACCGTGAACAGGTAAACAGGTCATATCAGGTAAATCGATTATGGAACTTGTGCATGTGTGCCCACTTACTGCTAATAAGCAGCTAATTATGTCTCATACTTGATTTCCTCATTTATAGATAATTTGCCAAATATTTCATAAATTTTCATTTCGTGTCACGTACGCGTGACAGCTTAAGAAGGGGGGTTTGTTTCCAGGATTCAATCAAGTAATTTATTGTTTACTTCCTCTATTTTCCTACCTTCCCCATTTGATGAGGAACTGTCACTCATGCTGGACTTTGATACGTCCGATTTCTATCTTTGTAGCATAGGGAAACCCTCAGTTCAAACTCCAAATTGATGTCCTATTTATGGAAAGAACTTATAACTTCTTGGGCCTCCATAGTTAATCACGTGGTCTATCACATGGCGGAAGAAGATAATTACAAAGTTTTCTCAAACAGCTTTATTTATTCCGGAATGAAAGGTTTTTTTTGGGGGGGGGGGGGGTATTTTTTGTGGATGTATAATTTTACCAAAGCATTTTTATTTTTATTCCACAGAAACCAGTGTAAGGGGCGATGCAGATTCAGATTAAAGATTTCTCAAAGGATGAAATTTGCTTGTTTTTTGATTAATTGTTTTAAGCTCTCTGTGCCTTGATATAAATCATTTTATTTTAAATCAGTGATTCAGAGATTTTTGGTTTTAAAGAAAAATATAGAAGTATCCTAATGAGACTAATTAATTAATATCTCCTGCATGATTTATCAACTAAAGAAAGGGCCTACTTTCTGCCATCTTGTAAATATAACTATACAATCATTGCAAATTTCTGTGGCTTGAAACCTATTATAATTAATTTAAGGTTGTAACATCTTTGGTCCTAACCAGCCTTTAATGTGCTCATGTATGAGTATAATGTTTTCCAAAGTCCTAGCATTACCGACTAGGAGAAAAATGCAACTGACCAGAACAGGTCAATTTGAAAAAAAAGGCCTCTTGAATCACTAGTCAGGTGCTCTACCAGCTGAACTTTCTGGAGAATGAACCCACTGGACTGCCAAATTTCTCCGTCCTTAAACGTCTTCCCCACCAAATATGCCAGGATTTCCCCCTGCAGGTCTTCACCTATCACTTCCAGGGCATGGTCACATCACGAAATGTATAACTGGCAAGGAGAAAAATGTAACAGACCAGACCAGGATTGAACCCATCCCCCAGAATCACTAGTCTGCTCACCAGCCATCAAACCCCCTGACCACCACTTTAGCATTAGACAAGCCATGGTTTAAGATCAATTCATTGCTGACCTCTTCTTTGTGCCAAGTATTACTTCTTGTTGGTCCAATACGAAGATTTCTCTTTTAAAATTTTACATTTCCCAAGAACCTTTAGAATTTTGACTCTTCTGAACCCTTTGATTTTCCTAATGCTTCTAATATTTTTCCATTTAAAAGTTAACCATCATGGTAGCTCATTCGGTAGAGCGCTCGCTTTGTGACTGAAGGTAGTGGGTTCAAGCCCCAAGCAGGACTGACCTAAGTCGAAAAAAATAGGTAGCAACTGTTCTTTTATCAAGCGCTCGGCACTTTGAAGTGAAAGTTGCGGGTCCTTCAGATGAAACCTTTTAAAAAAACAAAGGTCCCATGTCATGGCAGGCATTGGCATGATAAAGATCCCTACTGCTAAATGGCCCTGAGTGCTGAGTAAAGGTCTAAATTTGGAGCCCTTCACCAGTATATGGTGACGTCTCTATATGAGTGAAAAATTCTCGAACGGGACGTAAAACAATGTACAATCAATCAATCTATTTAAAAGTCCTTGTTAGAACAATAATTTATTACTTTTGTACCCTTCGATCTTCAACTCATATAAATGACCCTTATACAAGGTCAAGAAACATTTCTTGTCACAAGCTACCTTTTGTATCAAGTGTCCAATGTTTCTATATTTATTCCTGTCACAAAAGTAATGTACAATTAAACCTTTATCAAGCCATCTGCTGAAAAACATGGGGATTACAGTATACTTTACCACAAGAATTCATTTGCACAGGTATAGATATGCAAAATAAAACAATAAGACAAACAGAAACATTTTATTAAAACATAAAAACTGTGTACCAGTACACTATAATTTAACTAAAATCTGGATAAGCATCACATTCCAGTAATTGTTGTTAGAGCACTATTCTGTCAGATCTTTCAAGGGATGACAAGCACACATAGTATATAACACACTTTCAACATGACTCTCCATTAAATGTTTTTTGTCTGTTTATGTTCATAAACTGTGTACAACAAACTTATTATCTGGTCTTTCACTTATAAATGTTTGTTAATCTATTTTAGTCCTCACAAATCTTCAATTATTTGGTCACCGCATGCATAGCTTTGGCCAGATAATCAACATTATGAGATGACACACCGGCCACTGAAATCCTTCCATCCTTTGTCAGGTAAATTGAGAATTCTTTTGTAAGTCTCTCAACCTATAAGATAGAAAACATAGGAAATTAACAGTCATTTGTTGTTTTTTTTCATGTTAATTTTCATATGGGTGAATTAAAAAAAAAATGACCAAATGCATATTTATCAACCCACACTAAAAATACAGGCAATGAAAATAGATTTCTATGTCTCAGCATATGTCTTTAGATAGTGTCTAAATACCTGCCAAATATCTCGTTGATATCTCAATTAACAAAAAAGTTATGCCCAAAAATGATGCTAAAATTGTCAGGAGTGCAACACCTTTTTGTGACATTTTGAAAATTTCAATATTTTTTGGAGATCTGTGAAATAAAAAATAATGCTTCATGTTGAAAATAAAGACTTTCCTGATAATATTCAAAGTATTGAGCTTTAAATGTGGACTGTCATAACTTTTGTTTAATCAAGTTGTGGTCATGGCTGATGTTTAAAAAAATGTTATGTACCATGTCAGGAGTGCAACAGAAAAAATGTAGTGTTGCCAAAAAAACATCAGTTGTAAAATTCTGATAGAAAATTAAGACAAAAAAGAATTTTGGAAGTGTAAAATAATAACTGATATACATTTTAAAACTTAACAAGAGGCCCATGGGCCACATCGCTCACCTGAGCACACTGGCTAGACTAAGGCACAAATCAATTCAGTAATGAAAGGGGGGGGGGGGCTTGAATTTTAAACTACCTGATGATGCTTTCATGTCAATATAACAAATGAATTTGTTGTACTTGAGAAGATTTTAAAAGAATTTTCCCATTTATTCATTTGTAAAAATTTGATCCCCCATTGTAGCTCCTCCCTATCTCAGGGGTCATCATTTGAATAAACTTGAATCTACATTACCCGAGGATGCTTCCATATCAATAAGACTAACATAGCTTTTCTGTTCTTGAGAAGAAATTTTTTTCTATATGTTCTTATGTAAAACTTTCGATCCCCCATTGGGCCCCGCCCTACCCCCGGGGGTCATCATTTGAACAAAATTGAATCTACACTACCTGAGGATGCTCCCATATAAATTTGACTCCTCATGGCTTTGCTGTTCTTGAGAAGAAATTTTTCCTATATATTTCTATGTAAAACTTTGATCCTCCATTGTGGCCCTGCCCTACGCCCGGGGATCATGATTTGAACAAACTTGAATCTACACTACCTGAGGATGCTTCCATATAAATTTGACTCCTCATGGCTTTGCTGTTCTTGAGAAGAAATTTTTCCTATATATTTCTATGTAAAACTTTGATCCTCCATTGTGGCCCCGCCCTACCCCCGGGAGCCATGAATTGAACAAAATTGAATCTACACTTCCTGAGGATGCTTCCATATAAATATGACTCTTCATGGCTTTACTGTTCTTGAAAAGAAGATTTTTAAAGATTTTTCCTATATATTTCTAAGTAAAATTTGGATCCTCCATTGTGGCCCCGCCCTACCCCCGGGGGTCATGATTTGAACAAACTTGAATCTACACTTCCTGAGGATGCTTCCATATAAATATGACTCTTCATGGCTTTGCTGTTCTTGAAAAGAAGATTTTTAAAGATTTTTCCTATATATTTCTATGTAAAATTTTGATCCTCCATTGTGGCCCCGCCCTACCCCCGGGGGTCATGATTTGAACAAAATTGAATCTACACTTCCTGAGGATGCTTCCCTATAAATATGACTCTTCATGGCTTTACTGTTCTTGAAAAGAAGATTTTTAAAGATTTTTCCTATATATTTCTATGTAAAACTTTGATCCTCCATTGTGGCCCCGCCCTACCCCCGGGGGTCATGATTTGAACAAACTTGAATCTACACTACCTGAGGATGCTTCCATATAAATATGACTCTTCATGGCTTTACTGTTCTTGAGAAGAAGATTTTTAAAGATTTTTCCTATATATTTCAATGTAAAATTTGGATCCTCCATTGTGGCCCCGCCCTACCCCCGGGGGTCATGATTTGAACAAAATTAAATCTACACTTCCTGAGGATGCTTCCATATAAATATGACTCTTCATGGCTTTACTGTTCTTGAGAAGAAGATTTTTAAAGATTTTTCCTATATATTTCTATGTAAAATTTGGATCCTCCATTGTGGCCCCGCCCTACTCCCGGGGGTCATGATTTGAACAAAATTGAATCTACACTTCCTGAGGATGCTTCCATATAAATATGACTCTTCATGGCTTTACTGTTCTTGAAAAGAAGATTTTTAAAGATTTTTCCTATATATTTCTATGTAAAACTTTGATCCTCCATTGTGGCCCCGCCCTACCCCCGGGGGTCATGATTTGAACAAACTTGAATCTACACTTCCTGAGGATGCTTCCATATAAATATGACTCTTCATGGCTTTGCTGTTCTTGAAAAGAAGATTTTTAAAGATTTTTCCTATATATTTCTATGTAAAATTTGGATCCTCCATTGTGGCCCCGCCCTACCCCCGGGGGTCATGATTTGAACAAAATTGAATCTACACTTCCTGAGGATGCTTCCCTATAAATATGACTCTTCATGGCTTTACTGTTCTTGAAAAGAAGATTTTTAAAGATTTTTCCTATATATTTCTATGTAAAACTTTGATCCTCCATTGTGGCCCCGCCCTACCCCCGGGGGTCATGATTTGAACAAACTTGAATCTACACTACCTGAGGATGCTTCCATATAAATATGACTCTTCATGGCTTTACTGTTCTTGAGAAGAAGATTTTTAAAGATTTTTCCTATATATTTCAATGTAAAATTTGGATCCTCCATTGTGGCCCCGCCCTACCCCCGGGGGTCATGATTTGAACAAAATTAAATCTACACTTCCTGAGGATGCTTCCATATAAATATGACTCTTCATGGCTTTACTGTTCTTGAAAAGAAGATTTTTAAAGATTTTTCCTATATATTTCTATGTAAAATTTGGATCCTCCATTGTGGCCCCGCCCTACTCCCGGGGGTCATGATTTGAACAAAATTGAATCTACACTTCCTGAGGATGCTTCCCTATAAATATGACTCTTCATGGCTTTACTGTTCTTGAAAAGAAGATTTTTAAAGATTTTTCCTATATATTTCTAAGTAAAATTTGGATCCTCCATTGTGGCCCCGCCCTACCCCCGGGGGTCATGATTTGAACAAACTTGAATCTACACTACCTGGGGATGCTTCCATATAAATATGACTCTTCATGGCTTTACTATTCTTGAAAAGAAGATTTTTAAAGATTTTTCCTATATATTTCTATGTAAAATTTTGATCCTCCATTGTGGCCCCGCCCTACCCCCGGGGGTCATGATTTGAACAAACTTGAATCTACACTACCTGGGGATGCTTCCATATAAATATGACTCTTCATGGCTTTACTATTCTTGAGAAGAAGATTTTTAAAGATTTTTCCTATATATTTCTATGTAAAATTTGGATCCTCCATTGTGGCCTCGCCCTACCCCCGGGGGTCATGATTTGAACAAAATTGAATCTACACTTCCTGAGGATGCTTCCCTATAAATATGACTCTTCATGGCTTTACTGTTCTTGAAAAGAAGATTTTTAAAGATTTTTCCTATATATTTCTATGTAAAACTTTGATCCTCCATTGTGGCCCCGCCCTACCCCTGGGGGTCATGATTTGAACAAACTTGAATCTACACTACCTGGGTATGCTTCCATATGAGTTTCATCTTTCCTGGCCCTGTGGTTCTTGAGAAGAAGATTTTTTAAAGATGCTATTCATTTTTCACTAATTCTTAATTATCTCCCCTTGAAAGAGGGCGTGGCCCTTCATTTTGACAAACTTGAATCCCCTTCACCCAAGGATGCTTTGTGGCAAGTTTGGATGAAATTGGCCCAGTGGTTCTGGAGAAGAAGTCGAAAATGTGAAAAGTTTACAGACAGACGGACAGACGGACAGACGGACTACAGACAAAATGTGATCAGAAAAGTTCACTTGAGCTTTCAGCTCAGGTGAGCTAAAAATGTTATATAAATCACAAGCAGCATTAATGAGAGTCAAGTATATGTGCATACCCCAAAATGTCAGGAGTGCAACATTTGATGTTTTGCTCCCAAGCATGAAAAAACTATTATCATTATATGATTTTCTGATTTTTATTTTGGAAAATAAAGACACAAAGAACATTTTTACCAAATAGATTTATCAATTACAGGATCTGTCTGTGCTTCAGATCCATATTTCTATGGTCAGGAGTGCAACACATTTTTTAAAAGATTCAAGTTGTGTGACGAAAAGACTTCTATTCATGCTTAGAAGTATTCATTAATTAATAAGGATCTTTTTGTATAATTTAATGCTAAATTATTGACAGTTTTATTATTAAAATCCTTCCTTTTTCCATTTTATCAATTCAGATGTGTTTTTATCTTTTTGTGATTTTTTTAATGAACGTTAAAAATAAACACACTAAAACATTGTCATAAAATTCAAGTAATTCCTCCTCAACTTCACTGAAACAACAGAACAAGTTCTTATGTAATTTTCACTTCACAATTCTACTTTAAAGGCCCCAATGCTTTTGGTCAGGAGTGCAACAAATATGTTAGAATTATAAATCATCCACTAAGAATAAAAATAAAGAAAAAATGATGAGTAGAATTTCTCTGGTGGGTTACTGTGTTTGTCTTCTAAAGGAAAATATGCTTTAAAATATATTTTATCTTCTAAATATACATTTAAGCTAGTTTTTGGGCATAAAATAGGGTATAATTCCAGATAAAATGCGAATTTTAAATACTTTCATCTGTTTTAATTATGAAGTATTGGACTATAAGTATTGCACAATTTCATTACCACTTGATGTTGCCAACACTTTATGAATTTTTGTGTTCTATGGTTTTAATTTTAAACTTTACTGCAGTCAGGAGTGCAACAAAACTGCTTCATAATTACCAATGCTTTTTAACTATCTTTACTAAACAAGAGGCCCAAGGGCCTTAACGGTCACCTGAGTATAATACAACAATTTAGAAGTTAAATACACTGATAGATGAAGCTTTGTTGCCCTA